CATTGGGAGAGACAGGCCGTACCCAGGTCAGGAAACGAGGTTAGGTGAGGCGCAGTGTGGGGTGCAGTTGCCCCTGTGCAGCCTCACTGTCCACTATGTCCTCAGTCTCAGCGCCGTACCCCATGGCCACGTGCGCAGCACAGCCACGGGACACTTGCCACCACGCTCCGTGGAGCAGCGCCGCCGCAGGGCTGGAAAGTCCTGTCCTGCTCTCACTTGGATGTCCCTCCATGCCAGCGTCCTGCAGACCCCAAGTCTCCCCAGAGGAGGGCCTCCAATGGGCACAGGGCTGACTTTGGTGGCCTTGGGGGCCAGGGGGCAGGGTTCCTGTGCCACTCAACTCAGCACGTGCAGATGGCGTCCAGGAGTCACCCTGACCATGACCATCGGGCAGACAGGGGAAGAGCAGTGTCCCAGGGGATGAAGGTGAGCCCTTCGGATCCCTGCCGCCCGAGGAGGGGCTGACAGGGGCAGGAAGGTGACGCAGCGTCACAGAGAAGCCGTCACAGAGAGGCAGAGCAGCATGTCGGCCGGGAACAGAGAGAGGAGACTGCGGGGCTGGAGGACCTCACTGGACGCAGGGCAGAGAACCGAGCTCATGGATGGGGCTGCCCAGGCCCTGTGCTGGCGTCTCTGGGTGCTCTGGGCCTCCGCTCAGAGACGACAGGAGAGATAGAGCCTTGTCTTCCCAAGAGGCTGGGTGGCCCTGCACAGAGCAGGGACTGAGAGAAAACCCTTGGGCTCCCTCCCAGGCCGGGCAGCTCCCTACAGCTCCAGGGGAAGCCCAGGTCCCATGTCGGCTGGCCAGGGGCTCCAGGCAGCAGGAGAGGGCATGGAGACGGCAGCACCTGCCACTGCGATTCAAGGCGGACTTCGAGTCGCACTCCAGCAGTGCACAAGAGGACGAGTTAGCAGAACCTAATTAAGTCCGTGCCAGTTAGCACATCGATCATAATAAGAATTACACAATTTACACAGGTCATTAGGCCGCCTAATTACACGCTGAGGCTCCCCTGCAGGCTCCCTCAGATGGCGCCTTTTCTGCAGTCTGCTAACTGGCCTGGCAGGGCGCTAGGGCCCAGGGCTTGCTGAGTGGCCCTGCACTAAATGGGCCTGCCCGGCCCTCCTTGCCTGCTGGGTCACCTCCTGAGGCATGAAGGAGGGGTGTGGCCCCTCTCTGGGGCCCTGGCTTCCTGGGGCTCCCTCCCGGGGCAGGGCAGGAGGTGGCTCCCAGCGTGGCCTCAGTTTGAGGCTCCTCCCTGTCTCCCCTTCAGGCGCAGTATGCCCTTCCCCGCTCATCCCTGCGACTCCCCGCCTGGTCAGGTCTGATCCCAGGGTTCCACGGCCTCTCCTTCTCCCCCTGCTCCCCGAGTCCTTGTCCTCACTGGTCCTCTGACCCCTACTCATCTGTCAAGGCTCAGATCACTCACACGTCCCCTCCTCTCCAAGGCCTGCTGTGAAATTCCTAGTGGAAACACAATGGGTTTTATTTTTTCTGAAAGAAGTCAGAGGCTAAATCCCAGCTTGCAGCAAACCAGCCTCCATATTTGTAAAACAAAACTAAACAAAGCCCACGCTCAGTCTTTCTCATACTTATTTGTGTGCTGATTACTGGAGAGTAACATGGTCTAGTTAGTTACATTTTCTCTTCCCCTTTCATTAGCTATACTTTCTATTTTTCTGTAATAAGTACTGATTTTTATGTAAAATAAACAACAGAAAAAAACCAGCAGTGCAGTGTGGAAAGAGAGAAACAGCTGGGAAAAGACCCAGAGCCCAGGCTGGGTGGGGGCTGCTGCCCAGGACAGGTCTGGGGCAGCAGCATGCGGGTTGGCATCTGTCTCGCACAATGAGTGTGCAGGACTTCAACAGCTGTGCACACACGTGCCCACACTTCCTGCTCTTTCACTTGTATCTTTTTCTTTTCTTTCTTCCTTTCTTTCTAGACAAAGCACTGTCCCCTTTGATCAAAGGAAACCTTATGGAACCCAACGAAAACCAAAGGGCAGCAGAGTCCTTCACGCTGGTCTGCAGGGCCCAGGGTGGTGCTGATTTGTGTCGGGGGGAGGCCCAGGCCCTGTCAGCCATGGGCTCTGAGCCTGCTGGTGCATGAGAACAAGGGCCAAAGTTCCAGGCCTGGCACGCTCGACCTTCAGTCTGCCGTGTCTCCCTCTCTCCTGTGACTCTGCTCGGCGACCTTAGAGTCCAGGCGTGGTGTGGTGCTGTTTCTGCAGGACCGCCCCTCCCTGTTCCTCCTGCTGCTGCTGCAGCAGCCTGCCCCTCTCCAGTGCCACACCCTCTGCAGCCCTCCTGACGGCTTCACGCAGAGCTCATGTTTCCTCCCCTGCATCTAAAGTGCCTCATCAGGTCTTAGCTTGTGACTGGTGTCAGGACTGGTGGCTTCCCAACGCAAGGTGCAGGTCTGGAGCACTCAAACATGAGGGGTGCACAAGTCTCCTCTGGCAGTGCAATCGTATTTCCACAGTTCTAACTTTCCTTCTCGCAGAGTTGTGTGTGTGTGTGCATGATATGTGTATGTGTGTATATATGTGTATGTGTGCATATGTGTATGTGTGCATGTGCGCATATGTGTGTGTGCATGTGCACCAAGCCTGCCCCCACTCCCTACAGCTGAGGAACACACAGACGACACCAGCTGTGTAGCAAGGGGATGTTTGAGGGTGTGACACAGGAAGTGTCACAGAACTGGAATCTGTCCAGTGGAGGAATCCATATTCAGTCACCTGTCCTGCCGGGAGCGCGGGGGAGTTTCCTGGTTCTCTCTGCTAAAGCTTTGAATGGCAAGGATGAGGAGTCCTGAAAGTAGGCTTATCCAGAGTCACAGGGCCTTAGTGAATTCCAAGCACAGAAATAAGTCACTGGGTTGCACCTCTTGAAAAGAACGGAACCTGAAGGGAGGGATGTTAGAGAATCCACAAACCCATCTCAGTCTCCATGGGTTGTGAGCCAGGAATCAGGGATGGTGTGGAGAGGGAAAAACAGTGGCACGAAGGTGCCATTAGCTTGCGTCACTGAGGCTGCACTCTGAGGGTCGGGGATGTGAGAGGGCCTTCCGGAGGAGGAGCAGCCAGTCACAGTCTGCAGGCTGAGCAAGGGGAAGAGGGTGTTCTGCAGACCTGGGGCAGGGGAGATGTTCGAGCCAGAATGCTGGAAAGGGACAACCCACAGTGGGCCTCATTGGCTACAGGCTTTGTTTCTGTTTCATATTTCACAGGAGGGTGAACAATGATCAATATTGTTGACAGCTCTTTGATTCCACTGACAATGACTGTCTCAGGTTAGCTGAGCTGGGAGGAAAACACGCTGCCTTAGAAGTGGCTGCAGTTGTGATGGAAGCCCTGCACCCAGGATCCCTGCTGCTTCCTGCCACCTGTTCCCTTCCAACAGCAAAGTGATGGGCTGTGACTTCTGGGACAGGTCCTGAAAGGACCCTCTCCCTCTTGGATCACTCACTCTGAAGCCGTCTGCCCGGTGGAGGCCTCTGCCTAGGGCTGGTACCACAGACCTGCCACGTGCACCAGCCCATCTCATGAAGGACAGGCCTGGCGTCCTTCACAAGAGGAAGGGGGAGCCTTGCTGCACACAGCCGAAGGGAGGGAGGTGGAGATCAGAGTCAAGGCCAGAGCCTGCTGGAACCGGCCCACCTGCGCTGCACACGCCCAGTGCCCGGGGCGCAGGAGGAGGCTTGCTCTGTGGTGACCGTGGCCAGCCACGGAGGGGAGGGGGAGGGGAGGGCACAGTGTGGGTGTGGAAAGAAGAGGTCCGCAGCCAGGGCAGCTCCGTGTGTCCGCTAGGGCAGCAGGGGCAGGAGGGGTGGCCAGCTGGGGACGCGAGTTGGCCACTCCAGCCTGCTGCTGTTTTAAATAGAGTTTTATTGGAACATGGGCCGCCTTGTGCTTCACACCCTGTCTGCTTTTCAGTTGAATGGCAGAGGCTGCCTGGCCCCCAAAGCTGAGAGTTGCCCCCAGGCCTTAGCTGGCTGCTGCTACAGGGTATTCTTCAAATGCAGTGATTCCACCGGGGCTGTGGCTCCCAGACACAATGGGCAGGCATCAGCACAGCCCTGAGGCCCACCTGAGTCTGCTGCAGTGGCCAGTCCCCCCGGTGGTGTCAGCCATGTCACCTCCCTGCCTGGCCCAGGCCAGTGCCTGCAGCTACTCACAGAGCAGGCGGGAGCTGGGGCCCCACGCCTGCAGAGGCCCCCCCTGTCTGTCTTCTCCCCTGTCCCCTGAGCTGTGCAGTGGGAGAGGCCCAGATCAGCTCTTTCCAGGGTTGGGGAAAGGTCCCCAAGATGGGAAGGAACCCAGTGGTCTTCCAGGGACCCCTCATAGCCTGCCGGCTGGCCCTCAGGCTCCGTCTCTGAGCCTGGCCTCCTCAGAGTGGGACCTGAACTCCAGGTCAGAACCACTCAGGGCCCTTAGAATGCAGAGTCCTGGACCCGCCCGAGAGCTAAGTCGGATTCCGGCGGAGCCTGGGAAGCCCCATTTCCACCGCCACCCCAGTGATCTGGACAGCAGCTGTCCATGAGGCCCACAAGTCATTGAAACATAGGAGTCGCCTCCCCTCTCCAGCACGGAGGAGGTGCTGCTCTTCCTGTTTGGGTCCTGTGAGAGGGGACTGGGCTGGCTGAAGGGAATCAGCGGGGAGCACTGTTCGGCCAGGCTGGGGTTCCCTATGGGCCTTCTGCCTCGCCCTGCTTTGGGGCTCAGGGCTCCCCCAGTGTCCAGTAGGATGGGTTCTGCTGACCGTGTTGCCCTGCTGAGTGGATGGAAGGGGCTGCTGGAGGGAACAGGCTGGGTCCCCCTTCACATGACCAAGTCTGAGTGCGTCACCTGGAAACCCAGACCCCGCCAGACCAGGGGGTTACGAGAGGCGAGCCTGAGCCTCTATCCCTGAGCTTTGATGCCCACCTCTCTTCCCGGCCCACGCCTGCTGGGCCTGGACGCCAGGCAGTGGTCGGCGCGGTCAGAGCCACTCACCCTGGGGCTGTTCCTGCGGGGGCTCCAGCCCAGTCTTGTCACACTGGCCCGAGGGCCTCCGGAGGATGGACTCAATGGAGAAGGACAGGCCCAGCTTCTCGGGGGCCCCAAGGCACCCTGTACTCTTCTCCATGCCCAGGGGAGCCAGGCTGAGGGCTCACTGGCCGGCCGAGGGGCTGGGGCTCTGTGCCCAGGGTGATGGGTGGCGGGGCAGAGGCGGGGCTGGGAGCCTCCTGCTGGCCTGTCCGGGCACGACGCTGCGTCTGCAGGGACTTCATGGACGTGGCAGCTCCCCGGGACTGGCTGGCAGCTATATCCCAGGTCCACAGCCCAGGCTCTCACCAGCCTGGTATCAAAGGCTGAGCCACAGAGGAGCGGAGCTCAGCACGGCAGAGCAGCTTCCTGGACGAGGCCGGGCCCCTGACGCTGCCCAGGGATGAAGGGCAGAGAGAAGTGGCCGCAGGCTGGAGGCAGCGGAGCTCTGCCCCCTGCCCCCCCCTCCTGGGGCCTGGCCACCGAGGAGTGAGTCTGGCTGGGGGGTCTTCCAGGGCGGCTGGCACCTGTCCTGCTGCTTCCTCAGCGCCGGCCGTGCCTGTTGGTGTCTGCTGGCCGCGGTCCTGGGTTGTGTCCCGGGTGGGGCGGTGGCTGCCCTCCTGATCTCCGAAGTCTCCTCTCTCTGCACCCGGCCTGGCCGCTTTCCCGCCCCAGGGTCCTGCTGCTTTGCTCTGGTCGTCTCAGGGCTCCGGGGTGCCCAGGGACCCTTCCTCCCTCGTGGCCCCTGTGTCTTGAGCCATGGCCGCGGCTGGCTTCACATTACTGTGTAACCATGGAGGGCAGTAACCACTGATAAGGGAGGAGCCTCCCCCTCGGGCAGCACAGGCAGTGGCTGGGTGGGTGCTGGGGTCTGGGCTGGCGCCAGAGCCTGGGGAGGACATGTCAGTGACACTCCCGGAGCCTCACGGACGTCAGGCAGCAGGACCTGTGGCACGTGTGGGGACACTGAGACAAGGACTCAGAGGAGGGGGGGACTGGAAGGCACGGCTGGACTCAAACCCACCAGGAGCTGGCACAGCAGGGGTGAGCTTGCATGACGGCTGCCCTGGCTGGAGAGGTGGGGAGGCTTCCAGGCGCTCAGGGGCCTCTGCTCCCTGAGGCGCCATGCCCCATGTGGTTCCAGGATGGGGCGTGGGAGTTCAGGTCAGGAGCAGGAGGTGGGTGGGGCTCTGCTCACCCTGCCTGGTGCAGGAGGGGACAGTGGTGCTGTCCTCTGCCTGGAGGAGAAGGCTCCAGGATGGTGACCACACGGTCAGGGCCGGAGTCCCAGGCTCTGGGGCTGGAGGGTGCTGGCGGGCAGGAAGGCTCTGCGGGGTCCTTTGGGTGGGTGAGTGTCAGGAGTAAGGGCAGGGCCAGGCGTGGGGGCAAATGCCTGTAGTCCCAGCACCCTGGAAGGCTGAGGCAGGAAGACTGCAAGTTGAAACCCAGCCTGGGCAACCTAGGATTTAGTGAAATGCTGGCCCAAAATAAAAAATAAATAAAAAGCATGTGGGGAGATAACTCAGTGCAAAGGTGCTGGGAGCAATCCCCAGCAGGAGACAGAGAGAGAGAGAGAGAGAGAGAGAGAGGGAGGGAGAGAGAACTGACTTCCGGGTGGGAGTGGCAGGACCGAGGCTGAGGATGCCTTTCCATGAAGGTGCTGGCCCGGCTCAGGGCTGTCTGTCTGCCTCACAGTCAAGCGGTGGCCCAAGGCCACATGGCTGGCCAGCAGGACGGCCACCCCACGCCCACTCTGCCACCCTCCCCGTTTGCAGATGCACAGCCGAGGGCTGGAAAGGGGCTGGCAGGGTGCGTCTGCCGCTGGCTTCCTTGCTGTGGCCCTGACTGGCACCCAGCCCCGAGGAGGCTCAGGCCGCGCTGCTCCCTGGCTGTGTCCTCCACATCTCCGGACCCAGGCCTGTGTCAGTCACAGATGTTTCCTGAGCATCCACTGCGTGCTGGACACGAGGGCTGTGGGGAAGGAGGCTGGCCCTGCCCTACAGAGGGATGCACGGGGGAGTGGCAGGGAAGAAGTTGCAGGGCCTCGCGGGCATTGGAGGGGAGGAGTGCTGGCGTCAGACTCAAGGTGCAGTAGCTGCCGGCTGTAAGGCCAGGGCGGGCGTGAGGGTGCAGGAAGTGCTATGACCCTGCTGATGCCCCTGCTGCACGGGCCTGTGACCCTGCTGTCCATTCACCCTGCCGGCACTGCCTGTCTTTAGTCATGAAGGCCGTGGAGCACAGTTTCTAAGCAAATGACTGCAGCCTCCTCGCTGTGCCTTTGTCGTCTCCCCAGCTGCGCCCTCGCTGAGCTCGGCCTCAGAGCCCACGCGTGTCACCACTTGGGGAACCCCTCTGACCTCCGTGTTGATTGGCGGGGAGCAATAGACCATGAGGCTGCCCAGGTCAGGAGAGCTTTGAAGAGGAGGATTGAGGACGGACGGTGCTGCAGTCCCCATGCACCCTCCCTGGGCTGTGTCACGAGGTCCACTCCCACACATGCGCAGACAGCAGCGGCGACAGGACATGGTGGCCTGCGTCCCCATGGGGCAGTGAGACCCAAATGCGAGGGACATCACCACAGCAAAGGACACCGCGCACGGCCGCTCAGAAGGCTGCTCTCTCTGCAAGCACACTCCCCATCGTCCTGCCGCTACCGCAGCAGCTCGAGTCCTCTTTCCTAAGGGTCTCAGTTGTGCTGTCTATCGGCTGCCTCAACATCCTCAATCGATTCAAAATGTTTCCCTTTCATGGCCATTTTGACTTTGGGGAAGAGCCAGAAGTCTTGCAGTGTCAGATCTGGTGAATAAGGTGGACGAGGACATAGTGTCCTGCTTTTTACAAGCTGCCTTTCCGTTGGCTGGCACTCAGCAACAGCATTCACCACATTTTTGGTCACTCCTCATAAAGACACAAAAGAGGACTCCAGATCAGCTCAGAAAGTGGCTGGGGGATTCATGGAAATGTGTCTTTTACTGTGATAAATCAAAAAAAAATTAAACACATATCATAGTTTTCCATCAAACCCTGTAAAATTCTGAGGCTTTGATGGTTTGCCAGGGCCCGCGGCTGGTCAGCGGACAGTGGGGCTCCCTCTGCACCCTGTGACCCAGAGGCGGGCTTCGAACAGTGTTGAGGAGTAGCTGCAGGGCAGAGCGCAGGAGGGAGAGAGGGGGCTGGGACTTGAGCCCACCAGGGGCCTGCTGCTGGTTCCACGGGTGTCCGGGCTCCCTCGGAGCAGATGCAGCAGGGCGGCTCTCATGGAGCGCATGCAGGAGCCCACGGGCTCCGTTGGTGACCAAGTCCCTCCTGCTCCATCACAGACTCACTGGTCTCACAATCACAGGGCTGTTGGTCGCTTCTTCCGGCTGAGCCTACGCTGCTCCCCCTCAATTCGGGCATTTAGGAGAAATCGCTCAAGTTCAAGTCAGCAAGGTCAGGCCTTCCAGGCTGGCTCCCGAGGCTTTGTCTGCTCTGCCAGGGAGCTGGTGGCAGACAGGTGCTTGGCTTTTGGGTTGGGGTCCAGCCGGGACGTGGGGCCCAGGGGGTTTGTGCACAAGGCTGGGGAGGCAGGAACACCTCCCTCCCCTCTGCCACCCCAGTGTGCTGGTTACTGATCCGCTGTGGTACTGAGGACTGAGCCCAGGGCCTTCACACACCTTTGGTCCTTGCTAGAGTTTTTTATTTAGAGACGGGGTCTTGATCAGTTGCTAAGTTGACCAAGCCAGGCTTGAACTTGCCATCCTCCTGCCTGGCCTCCAAGCACAGGGATTACAGGCATGCACCTCCATATTAGGCTGAAAGTTTATTTTTAAATTGAAAAATATAAATTACAAGTATTTATGGTGTACTGTGGGATGTTTTGAAATACGTATACATCTTGGGGTGGCTAAACTGAGCTAATTAACATATTTAGGACCTCTTGTACCTTCAGGAATGCAGCACCTTGTTACTAACCACTGTCGCGTGTGGCTCCGTAGATCTCCTGAGCTTTTCTTCTGTTGGGCTGGAAACCGCTGTCCTCTGCACCCCCCCAGGGACCCAGCATTTCACTCTCTGCTTCTGTGAGCTGGGTGCTTCCAGTTCGCTCCGCAGTGAGAGCGTGTGGCTTGGTGTCTTCCTTGGTCTGCTCGGTTTGCTCGATGCTGCTGTTGGTAGACCGGCACTTGGGCTGATCTCACCTGGCCATCAGGAGTTTGGCAGCACCCTGAGCGTTGGTGTCACTGGTAGGCTTGTCCCTTGATGCTGCAGCTGCTATAGCTCCAGACCTCACACACACCTTTCCAGCTCCCTCTCTTTGTCTGGGGAAAACCTCTCCCAGGGGCCTGTGCAGACCCTGTTGATGTGTTGTGTGCCCAGGTCACATGTGGAGAGCAGGACCTCACAGCATGGCCAGCTGTCGGCCTCACTGCTGGGCCGGCAGAGCCAGCTTCCTTGGTCATGCTTCACCCGCCGGGTGGACACCAGGCGCAGTCGCTGTTTGGTGAACAGCCAAGGCCCCCCCAGGATGTGTGGCAGACAGCGGCTTGTGGTGGGAAGAAGGTGGCCGAGCAGGCAGGTGTCTGTGTGCTGGAGTGGCAGGTGCCTGGTTGCTGCCCTCAGCCTCAGGGGAGCCAGGGTCCCTGTCACAGCTCAGGCCCACGAGGTCTCATCCCGAGTGGTGGGCAGGCCCTGGGCTCCCGAGCAGGTGGGGCCACACCCTGGACCGGGACAGAACCGCGCAGAGCCCTCTCAGTGCATCTGGCTGGACAGAGCCACTCGTGTCCCTACCTCAGGGTGCGTGGGGCCTGTGCTGCCCCAGGCTGAGTGCAGTGGGTGAATCCCCCACTGCACCAGTGGGTGGCTCTTAGCCTGCAGAGCTCAGGGCCCCTGAACTGCTCCAAGCGGAGCTGTGTCCGCAGGTCACAGAAGCCCTGGGCATGGGTGTGAGGCCATGGCCTGGGGAGCTTTCCAGGCAGCGGCATTTGGCTGGCGCCCACTCTGTGTCCACCCTGCTGAATGAGACCAGCAAGGTGCCTGCCCCAGTGTCGTCACCGATCACAGGATGAGGCTGAGCACAGCAGACGAGGGGTGAAATGCAGCAGGTTGCAGGGCGTGGCAAGGTCCGGCTGGGCCTGGTCACACCGAGCCTCTCCTGTCCTCCGTGCTGAGGGAGGAGTCTCAGCTGTCCCCGTAGCCTGGCCTTGGCGATGGCCACAGGAAGTCGTGTTTGTCTCTCAGAGGATGGGCGCACAGAGCTCTTCAGTTGGCGGAAGTTGCTTGTCTGAGGACCCTGGAAACGCCGGAAGCCTCCCACTTTCTCACCCTCACCCCTGACCGATGGGGCTGTGACACCCTAAGCCAGCTCTGGTAGAGCACTTCGATTTGGGTTAATGCAGATTTTGTCCCCATGTCCCTTGGGTTGATGGAGAGTGTGTGAGCCGACTGTGGTGGTGCATGCCTGATCCCTGCATTGTGGGAGGCTGAGGCAGGAGGAGTTTGAGAGCCCGCTGGAAACCTAGCCAAGCCCTGGGCTCCATCTCCAGGACGCCGGGGTGGGGAGGGCGAGAAAGTGAAAGCCAAAATGAAGCAAGCGAGCACAGACGCCAGCCACCCTGGGGCCGTGCCAGGTGGGAGGTGTCGGGTGCAGCTGGGGCAGTGACGGCGCCCGGCACAGTGCGTGGCCCAGGCAGTGCCGTGGGGGGTGGCGGGTGGGCAGCAGCGATGTGTGGCGGAGTCAGGAGGCACAGGGGTCAGGGCAGAGGGTGCTCTTACTGCGCTGGGGTTGTTGCCAGAGCTGGCTCTGTCGCACTTCTGCATTGGCAGGACCCTGCGGGCAGCCCCGGGATGCTCTGGCCAAGGCCTTCCCTGGAGCGGGCGCAGGGCAGGCTCTGCAGTGAGCAAGGAGGCTGCTGGCTGGGGAGGTCCCTTGACCCCAGTAGGTGTGGAGCGGTGAGGGCCTCCGGGAAGGGCTGGCTGGGTGGGTGGCATGTCCCTCGAGTCCCGGGAGAATACTCCTGGCTCCCAGGACCCCAGGAGGACTCAGGCACAGCCCCATGCCTGGCCACTGCTGCCTAGGACAGGCTTGGGGTCCAGTCTCCAGGGTGAGATGTCTGCGGTCCAGGTGACAGAGGCTTTCTGATCAGTGCCCCCAGCTTCCTGTGCCCCATCTCTGCAGGCGGGGCTCACTGAGAGGCAGCTCTGGCCCTGTGCCCTGGCTGCGGCTCGTCACTCTCTGCCCACTCGCAGCGACAGAGCCCGGGCCATGCGAGGGTCAGCCCTGGGACGTGAGGGACAATGTCCCCACCATGCCGCCCTCTGTGTTGCTGAGGAGATTGAAGCCACTGCTGCGGCTCTACCCAGCCCGACCCCATCGGAGGGGCGGGCCCAGGTGTCAGTCATGTTTAATTTCTAGTTCTGATTTTTACACTTAAATTGATGGTGAGGGACACACAA